GCAACCTAAGAAGGGATTGAGAGTTAACTGACGCCGATGGCTCGGATTATGTTTCCGAACAACGAATTGACAAATCAAATGAACCGAACTGTTATTGTAACTAGTTTGATAGTCCTACTGGTTCGACTGTGATCCGGTTGTTCTTATAATGATGGGGAAAAATACTTCTTTCCATGACATCCAACTCCAGCGCCGACGTGCACCTCACCAGCCGAAGATAGGTTTGGCAAGAGAGCGTCGTCGACGGCCAAGCGAGTGAAAGTGGAATGGAGCTTGTAATGTTTATGGACATGTGATTCAATGATTGGTTTAGCCATATAGACACATAAACCGCTTAATTGTGTCATAATGACAAGATGTGCACGAGTACGAACTCTTAGTACCGACTCCAAATTGCACAATAAGGTGGATTCCACTCCAAATGACTTGTATTGTTGATGGACATGTGATTCAATGAGCCATGTCACAAAGCAGAAAATTTATTTGAAGAAACGTAATTAGTATTCTAGTCTCTCACATGTCCGATTAAATTAGTAAAAACCCTAACCTTTCTACAATAATGCATATCTAGCTTGGCTCATGCAAGCAATTTATGTTCAGCCACCGGTTCTGTAAACATATCACGATACTACAAAGCAAAAGCTCAAAGCAATAGCTTATTATACACATTCATATCCGCCACATTCTGCAGTCAGATTTTTCTTACTTTGCGTTGATACAAGTGAATGTGCTTCCTTGCATTTGGGCCATTTCACCAAGTCGTCGTCTTTCTTCCTTAGCCGGGATGCCATGGACTTCAGACCACTCCTCATGTACGCCAATACGGCCGCAGCAAGCTCTCTGCAGCAGGAAATGTTCACATCAGCCCCCTGCCTCTAATGGTTACACTTGGAGAAAAGACGGTGGAAAAGAAAATGTTATCTAAGGCCTAACGTATACAATAGAGGTTGGCAACAGAAAGATCATCTAGGTGACCAGTTAAACCACAGCTACATAAAATATGCATTTATGGTATCCACGACAACAGTTTCATCTACCATGCAAACATTACAGGCTTACAAGGGATATGATTAAATCAAACAAGACAACAGTAGCCATCTGACATAGGATCACATACTTGTAAAAGGAGAAACCTAGACCACCACAGCTCAAACAAACAATAGATTGCCTGTGTTTAAGTTTAACATCCAGTACAAGGAGTTATAGAGAAGATCACTGTCTATAATAACTATTTAACAGAGAGTCTGTGTATTGCGTTCCATAAGTACCCTTGGCGAAAACATAATTTTCACAACTGCCCACCATCATTACCTAGCCGACACGACAACAATCATATCTATGAGAACCAATAATATCTATGAGAAGGAGTATCTTATATTACTTGGTAAAGATACTAGGTTTCACAAGCATAACCAGTTAACACAATGAACGGGGAAGCAAAATTGCAGTGATCACATTTGTTCAGGACAGCCACCAAACGTACTTAAGAGGAAATCTTGTCCCTTTCTTATCCTTCACTCTATCTAACATGAACGGGGAAAAGAAGCAGTCATTCAGCAGCAAAGAGGGGATCAAGTAGAAATGTGCATAACAAAAATGTAACTTTTGTTAGTCCACAACGTACAACCACATATCTAAGGGACGAAAAAGAAATATGCGCTCTACTTACAATGGCGAGCATGGAGAACGACCGCCGTTCACGTAGTAAACGAACAAGTAAGAATCATAGTGTTGGCCGTTGATGAAATAAAAGCCTTGCAACCTTCGTATACACCTGAATGACATTTTTTTATACAACTGGATTGCAGCAATGTTGTACGAAATAACGTGCAAGTAAACTGCACGGCATGTTCGAACACTTGAAGCATATCGAATGACCTCACGGATAAGAGAAGATGCTGCAACATAATTAAAATGAAGTGGATCATATGCAAGACAGAATGCATCAGCATATTTCATATTTAGAGAAAAGAAAAGCAGATAGATACACTGCACACCCCCGCATATCCTGCTGCCTGGCCTTTATTTCAGGACATATGTGTGGTACACTGTACATATAGAGAGAGAAAGAAAGATAGTTCCTACCTACGCCAAGATTCCTGTAGGTATCCACTACTCCAAGCGTCAAAATATAGAGTAATGTTTGATCAGGTCTAGAGGGGTCATATCTAAGTAAATCTCCGATCTGCAAGGTGCATGAAATTTTTAAATTCCAAGCTCAAAAATTCAAAATAGTTAAGCAATTAAAGACAATTCCGCACTTCAAGATAAACAAGTTGATGAAGGAAACAAACCTTCGACGGAGTTCTGTATCCCTAACAACGTTTTTCATTTATTTATACAAAAATATAGATTAGAGTTGTAGTTCAAGTGAATTGATTAGGTCCATGGAAAATCCGGGTCCTAACACCTTTTGAAGTAAGAAAAGTGAAGGCATTCCAAGAAGCCAAAATATCTTTTGATATCCAACACCAGCATGAAAACAAATCACTTATCTAGACCATTTTCATCCCCCAAGTATGTGTAAGACATGTACAGTTACACTGAGTTATAATTTACAGCATGCTAACCAAATAGATGGCGAAAAGAAAACAGTAACAAATCAGTGCATCCATCAATTACGCTGACACAAAAGACACACCCTCAAAGCCTCAAGGAGGTAGAAGACCCACCTCACTTTCTTTGGCCAACACTATCCTTGCAGTAACAAATCCTATTAGTTCATCACCATTACCATTGGGCCGCCCGCGGTCAATTGCTGCCCAGGACACAATATCATTTCCACTGACAACATGTTGGAAAAACTCGGGCTCATACCTAAAGAAAGACAAAACATTCTGATTAGTACGAAGTTCGGTTGGAAGAACAGAGGCAAAAAGTTAACAGTGGAACATAAGGGTAAAGCTACCCACCTAATAGGAAATACTTCAGTGTGCAGTTGCTCTAAAATCGTCAAATCAGAGGGTAGTATAGGTCTGAAGCATATGCTTGGACGGTGGGAGATTTTAGGCCGAGTCATTTGTGCTTTGTTTCTCAATCACCAGCAAAGATAGATAAGATTTGCAAACCTTCTGTACCAGCTTCCATTTAGGCCGCATCATCCATGATCTCCATGTGGGCTCCTAGGAACTGATACAATTCCCATCGGTAAGTGATTCGATAGCATAGTTTGCGAGCTATAATTGAAAGAGAAGATTTAGAAAGCATCGCCCCACCAACGGGTATAAGGTCAACCAAGTTCTAATGACACATGAACACCACCTAAGAGAACATACCCATTAAGCAGAAGGAAATGAAGAAACTTGAAGGTCTAGAAAAAGTAAATGCAATCACCCATCTGAGGAATCAACACTATGAAAGAATTTAAAGACTAGAAGCAGGAAGCAGGTAGAAAAGAATAATATACAAAAAAAGCTTCAATTTTTCAGTTAGAAACGATGAGCAGGTATGATTTAGGAAGGCGTAGGTGACGGACAAATTGTTCCTTCTTTCACCAAGGAAAACCCATCAACCACTACCGATTTCAATATTAATCCATGGAAATCAGAGAAGGAGACGATACCAGAGGTGTCAATCGGAGAAGGCAGAGGTCGATCAGTAGATCTTTTTATGTTGATGGCTTCCTCTCTATACAGAAGTAAGGAAGTGGATGATGAAGCAAACGGGGTGGGTTGCGAGTTGGGACTTGAAAGACAGCTGATGCAGCGATCCAATCGGGGTTTCCCAGCTTCCTGATTCTCTCGGCCTTCTTTCCTGTTCCTGGCTGTCCTCCCCTGGTTTTCCCGAGGTTTCTATCTGATTTTGCTTGTTTCCTTTTCCAACCTTCCATTTTCCCCTGAATTTCAATTTTGGGCTCTGGTATGGATATCTGCCTATTTGGGCTTGGGCAAACAAAAATTTATCCGAGTTCAATGAAATACGGCCCAGGCAATTATCAAAAAGGGCTTTCAAAGTAATAATGGTAAGACAGATTTGGTCGTTTCTACAAAACAGTAATGTGAGAGTTTAATTGAGGCAATTTCTTCGACTCTCAAGTTTCCAACTAACCTGCAAACTCAGATGAATCAATCAACATAAAACTGAATCAAAGGACTAAACTGGAAAAAATACCAACTCTACACAGTTTCACTTTATTTTAAACTTACATTGTTCTACGTCTTTTCTCCATTACTGTCGACGATCAATATTTGATTCGAACTTATGCTGACAAATCCTCCCCTAAAGTAAACATGTCATCGGACTTCAGTCACTTCTATGCAGAATCTCCCTTCGTGACTTCAATTACTCCCAACTTAGTTATCATTAGCTCAAAGGTATAGCTTTGGTCATCACATCAGCCACTTGTTCTCATGTTCCACAATAAGTTCAATCACATCTTATTTTGCCAAATCTCTAAGAACGTAGAAACACACATCTATATTCTTGCTTTTGCCATCAAAAGATGCATTTCCTCGCTCCCTAACCACCATTCCACTGCTCTCGCAGACAACTCTAGCTAGAACAGTGAAAGCTTGTTGAAATGATGTACTGATCTCTCTGGGAGTAATATATATATATATATATATATATATATATATATGCATTTTGAACATGATTATGCATGCAGGATTGAGTATTTCAGCTATGTGTCGTCAGTTTTTTTCTTCACTCTACAATCAGTTTAGGCCCTAGTATAAAAATTAAAAACTCAATTACAATATCGACTGCAATTAAATGTTGTAGTTGGTATGCATAATGCAATCAAACAAACTATTGATGAAAGTGTGTGTTTTATCACCAAATAGACAACTCCCACTTTCTTACTTTATCTTCATCTCTTCACGCAAATTACATTGGCGGTTGGGATGATGTGAGATGTTTGAAGATATGGACAACGGAATCCCCCGCCGAGCTAAGTACTCTGCTCTCCACGTGAACGCCTTTTCTTTTCTCTCGTCTTTTCGTGATCACTTACTCGGGGCTCTTTTGTTTCTTCTGGTGTCCCGATCGTAAGAACTCAAATGGAGAACGGAATCCCCCGCCGCGCTCGCGCTCAGTCTCTACCTATATTTTCTCCCGTCTCATCTTTTGATCAGGTACACACTCTTCCCTTGTTGCGCTTTTCTTTTCCACCGCCACAGTGATCTCCACTCTGATCGGCAACTCCCTCTGCTCCTCCGTCGTGTACTCGATCCCTGAAAAGATGCCGCCACCGCCGCCTCCAAACAACACTACAAATGATGATTCGATTACCACCACCTCCGCAGCTCCTCCTCCACCCGGCGCCGATGACCAGTTGCAGTCGATTCTAGCCTCCGCTCGGCCGTTCCTCCGCGGCGAGCTCGAATCGGTGGACGAGAACCTGCCCCGGCTCCTCGCCGTCCTGCGCTCCGTCGGCGCAGGGGAGTGCTGGCACAAGCACGGCAGCTTCCTCGACCACCTCCTCCACACCTACCGCATCCTCAAGCTGTGGGGGGCTCCAGACGCCGTCTGCCTCTGCGGCCTCTTCCACTCCGCCTACTCCAACGCCTACGTCAACCTCGCCATCTTCGACCCTTCCACCGGCCGCGACGTCGTCAGGGCGCACGTCGGCGACGACGCAGAGAGCCTGATCCACTTGTTCTGCGTCGTCCCCCGGCACTCCCTGATCCACGACGACCTCCTGTTCAAGTACCGCGACGAAGTCGAGCTCCGCGAACACCTATCACAATCGGAGATTTCCCTGCGGGAGGCGGAGAAGGGGGGATTCGATGCTGGGGAGGCGTGGAGGGTGAAATTGAACTCGATTTTGCCCAGAGAAGGGGTGAAGGTAAAGCACATCAAGACCGGAGAGGAGATTCGGTTGTCGAGAAGAGTTTTGGCGGTGTTTTTGTTGATGACGATGGCCGATTTCAGCGATCAATTGTACGGATTTCAGGATGCGATGTTCGAAAACTCCGACGGGAGGTTGGAGTTCTCCGGGGACAATTACCTAGCTCTGTGGCCAGGAGACGGCAGGCCTGGGCTGTGGATCAACTCGGTCTCGAGGATGGGCGCTGTTTACTCGTTGATTGTGAGGGAGGAGGAGATTGTCGAGAAGGAGATGGGAATTAGGGTTTCGGATTTCAACTGAAAGTGTTTATCGAGAGGAAGATGAAAGCACCGTAGGTAATGCTGCTGGAGCATAACTATCATCATCTTCTGCTATAACAAGCACTTCGTCGCCTTCTTGCAGAGCATATGAATCATCAGGATTCAATACAATCTTACCACCACATGAAGCAACCTTGACCCCACAAGGTATAGCATCAGGAAAGCTGATCAAGACATCCTCAAATTGCATGCCATCTAACTGCGGCCATTTTTGGATGTAAAATTCACAATTTTCAAAGCCAAGGATGTCTTCCCAAATCTGGTACAGACCATCAGTAAAAATTCAGCAAGAAAACCACGTAGGAAACCTTATCTAATCCAACATAAAAGAGCAATAGCAATTATTGTTCTAAAACTTTAACCTGTGCCAGTCCTGGTTGCCGAGCACATTGAATCATGAGACGGCCAATTACATCATGAGCGACAACAGTCTCCACAAGTTCCCCACCAACAAGTTTCACAAGGACCTCATTGTCAAGATCACTTAATTCCACCACAATATGGCCCTTCAGCCCTTCTTTCACTCCTGTTAGACTCAAGACTGTTCTCAATGCACGAGCATCACTCTGTACCAGACCATGAAATAAGGTGGTGATTAAATATGGCCAAAAAGGAATAATGAAATCTCATCCATCTCTGATTTGAACTAGACCTGGTCAGCATTTCCATCCTCAGCAAGTACAATAATGGCACGGGCTTTGGAAACAGATACCTGGAAGCTTCAAAGATGTTAGATACCAACGGAAAACCACTCCCTAGGTTGTGACAGAATAGCCACCATAGAACCATTCACTTTAAATATATTTCAATATGAAATTAACTCTTGACTCGCCGAGTGCAACGATTTCATTAGTCCTATATTCATAGCACAACCAAAGATCTGAAACAAGCAGCTACATTTTCAGATGCTTCATAGATCAACTTGCAGCAGAGTTCAACCATGTCACTGAAGCTGAAGAGTTGAGTCCACAAACCTTTTTGAGGTCAGCCAAAATCAAGGGGCTCCCACTTCTGCATATAACAGAGGTCCCTTTGAAGTCAAACTCCATTTTCCCAATGTCCAATTCCATCTCTTCTTTGTCTCGTTCAGCCATTACTACCACAGTCCCCCCACCTAAACTCTCATTCGCAATTGCAAGCTGATTCAGCAGTGAACCCTAGTTCCAGCAAACAACAAGTGAGAGCATTACTCGGGTCCCGGATACAAAATAAAGCTGAGGGAAACAGGCCTCTTACCAACTTATCACTCCATCCAAGAATAAGGGTGTGGTTCTGCTCAACTACTTCACTTCTTCCCTTCCTTAACGAATCGAACTTCTCAGAGATGGCATCCGATACAAGTCCAAGCATCATTGCAAATACAAGCATGCCCCCAAAGCTAATAGAAACAGAAACAAGCCTCGGCCCAATACCTTCAGAGTCAGCATGGTTGCCCGAATCAGCGACATAGGTCCACGACAACCATAGACAATCAGCTAACCCATCGCTGGTAACACCGAAGAGCGCCAATCCTCCAAGAATGATTAGCAGCAATGTGGCAACAAGCAGTGCCAGTGGCTTAGAATAAGGATGCACTGATAAAAAGACATCCACTCTATAAGCAAGCTGTTTGCTCAAAGAAACTTCTTCTGAAGCAGCATCTGAACTTCTCGATTTTGAGACGAGATCAATGTACTTGAAAACGAGAAGCGGGATCGATAACAAGGCAAGTGAGGCAATTAGAGACAAATGTTTTAACCCTTGACCGGCGTAAAGATCAACCGCCGCCGTTTCCAGTAACCGGAAATCCATTGAGGAAGATACATTGCAGGCCAGTAACCCAATGTTAAGTCTTGCAATTTCATCCTGTGAAGCGTATGGCCAAATTATCAGATTATGCAATTTCAGGACCATCTGCTCAGTTGACTTCGAAGAAACGAACAGTTACCTGCAAGTCAACGACCTGGTTCCGCAATGAGAGATTCTTGTGGAGCAGAGAAGCGAGAGCAGCTATCAGAAACTGCAAAACAATTAAACAAACAATCAATAGGCATATCCTTCCTCTTAAAGGAGAATCTATCTACGGAGAAAGAGGGAGGCGCACCGACGCAGAAATGGCGAAGTGCCATCGGATTAGAGCTAGGCGGAGAAGCTCAAAGTAAGTGCCGTGTTGAAGAAGATGTTTCTTCTTGGGGGCGGGTCGGTCAGCGTTAGAGTCAACCGGCGGTGGCGGCTGCGGAAGAGGAACAGGAAGGGCCTGCTGCTGCTCCGGCTTGGGGGAGAGATGGTGAGGGAAGTAGACGACACGGCGGCGGCGGGTTGCATAAGGAGGCGGAGGAGGAGTGGAACTGGGAGATGTCCTGTTTGGGATTGTGGAGAACCGCCGGCTGCGGGCGCGAGGGAATTCCGGCGGCGATTGGTGGTGGTGGACAAAATTGGAAGGAGAAGGAAAGAACCAGTCCCTAGTACTGCTACTGCTACTGATGGCGGCAGAGAAAGAGGGAGGAGGAGGCGAAGGCGGAGTAAGGCGGCCGTCGGCCTCAACCGGCATTATGGGAGTTTTAATCAGCCCGGCTGGTGGAATTGGGTCTGATCGGCATCCTCGTCGACGACGGCGGAGCTCGTTAATCAGTCCCAATCGGTATCAAAGCTTTGATTAAACATTGATTAGACCTGTTCTCTCTGCTCCAGCTGAATAAGCTTGAAGGTTAGAACCGATTTGTTTATGGGGATGGAAGATTCTTGCATGCTGCAGGGAAACGACCAACCAACTCCGGCCCCATCATTGAGACGAGAGGTCCACTTTCTTTCTTGTTTACCCCTGGAACCAAAAGGTCAAGGCTTTTTCACATTACATACTTTTCCTTCCAAAAAAAAAAGATCCGTTTTTTAATTTTACTCGTAGAAGGGAGTTGAAATCAAGAATGTGACATGATATACACTCAAAGACCAAGAAGAAGGGGGAAGGAACTTGAGTACTTGACCATCATCATTTCGAGACAATGTGTTCGTATTGTGAAAGATTATAAGGTCATATTAATAGGTTATCGCACAAAAGCAAGCAATCATGTTGAATCGATGACAAAGATCAAAAGGCAACAGAAATGTGACATGGCACACACTTAAAGTTCCATAACATCATCGAGCACAAGTGTTTCCATAACATCATCGAAATATAATGAATGTTTCATTTTTATGGAGACGTCATAGGAAGCGCACCAAAGGATTTCCCATACGTATCATCCACCTCAACCCCCATCCAAGTACCTCAGAAGGTTAGCATTGTCACAAAGCATCTACGACTAAAACACACAATAGACTCTGCAAGAAGGATTCATATTCACACAATAAGAGCATCAAAGTGTCACATTCCTCCAGTGGAATTGTTATCATTCTTGTTAAAATCAGTTTAAAACACTACAAAGCCAGATTAAATTGTCCTTTTGGGCTGAATAAAGTATAAACACCATGAACGTGTTCTAATAGAGACCATGTTTAATAGAAAACAATAAAACGTTTCCTTGGGTACTACCCTGAAATCTAATCAACTCGATATGTTCTGTCTCAGCCAAACATGGCCTAAATAGTTAGTTCAGCAAACTGGTGCTGGGCGGATTGGTGCTGTTTACACGCAGCCTGAACTTTGGACCCAAGAACTGTCTGGGAAGTCTGGAACGATGCACTGACAATTAATTGAAACAAACTGATACAAAAAGAAGGAACAAACATTCTGCAACAAGGGAGGAGACATAAATGAGGTACATATCGGGGGAAGAACAAACTGATAAATCACTGACATCTAATTCTTCAACTGCAGACCCTTTGGAAACCCTAAATGTACCTTCTCATAATCAGTAGGCTAGAAGTGGATGACAAATTTCCACCCCCAAGCAAATCAAAGGTGGTACCTGTACTGCTAAACATGTAACCGACCGACAGACCGAGCTTTGGCGCTATGCTTCTCCACATGATGAAGGCCCTCTTCTCAGCTTTTTCAGTCACATTATAATACTCCATGAAATTTTACAAGTATGCGTGCAGCAGTTGGGGCCTGGAGCGATCATAAGAAATACGGAACTCCTGTCCTTGGCCCTCTCATCTGATTATTCTCCTCCGTTTCAGTGAAAAACTTCACTTCTCTCTCCTACAGAGAACCAGAAACAAATAAAATTCCTTGGCTAAAGGTTTCACTTTGGAGACTGGACACAAAAATAAAACAACCAGTAGCCAGATTCAAAGTTCACTCACCATATTCTCATTGAAGCTCAAGATGGAAGCCACATTCCCACATCTGTAACAATAGTTTGGCGCAGACCAAACCTGCAAAAAAGTGAAGCATATGATTTCATGACTCTATACAACTAACCTAAACAACGAGGATAAGAAAATTTAAATCCTTACAGTTACTAAGCCTTTATCTTGAAACATGTATTTGAGGCCTTCTTGTACCAGTTGGTGTGCCCGACAAACGAGGTCAAGATTGTTAATGTGGTTAAACTACAAACAGAGGGGTAGGACATCGTTAGATTTGGTCGTACAAAACACCAGTTAGATTAAGATAAGATTACGCAGTACCTCAGAAGTAACCCTTGACCCAAAAAGCCAACCTGCTCCTCTGGGGCTAACCGCCCATGTTTCAATGTCTTCAGGATCACTCCACATAAGATCACAGAAAGGTCCTTCATGTGGAATTTCACAATTCCGTTCAATTATTCTTATCTGTCAGGCAACAGGGGAAGACAATATCAGTAAACCAGAAGCTCCCACCAGGCCGCTGCAAGCAAAAATCTTAAGGAAACAACGAGCTAGGCATATTTCCATTAGCGAAAGCTGCACCAGGCAGATCTTAGAACATGAAGGTTCAACGCTCATCCATACCAGATTCATTAATAGAATAGTTTCCAAAGGCCCGCATGAGATGCTAGATTCATTGCCTCTGCCATGGGCAGGCAAGGCACAGTCAGAAAGGTGGCCTCTTTTAACTTGGGAAAGCTGTCTTATCACATATCAAGTACTATGTCTCTATGGCAAGTTCATTTCTTTTTGCAAGGAAGATCCATTTATATAACATACCAAGACTAAAGTAGAAACCTTACAGGTAAAACACATACTATATTATTTGCCAATTAGGGAAAAGGTTTATCATTCATACCTCCCTTTCTATTGTTGATATTTGCTTGAGATGAAAAAAGGAAGCTTAGCAATCCATTGGTACATAGTCAATGATTCTAATGTGAGTTCTGCCTAGGGTTCTTTAGGCATGCATCTTGCACTTACGTGCCAAGGATCTCTATCCTTCCGTTTCTAGTACTATGATCTCTAGTCATTCTGAAATTAAAATAAAGAATCCCAGAGCCTGAAGTTATGATAAGCAGCGGACAAACAAATCTTACATAGTATGTTGATGTTCATATCTAAAATAGTTTTGGAGATTTTTCATCCATTCTACCACAACTCAATGTAAGGGTGCATAGAACCAAGAATCACCATGCCGAGGCACAATCCTACATCAAAAATAAAAGAAAACGAGTCCCAAGTACAACACCCAAATATTTGGATGTTGAGATTTTACAAGTTTTTAGCTTTGACAACAGAGACGAACCAAGAGATCTACCTGATCAATTGTTCGGACATCAGGAGAAAGACCACCATGGACACACAGCACCTGCACGATGAAACCCGAAGGCATACACATTTCACGATTAAGAGAACATCACCAAAGTATCATAACTCATAAGTCACATTTTATAACTAAGAAGAAAAGAGACAAGGAGACGAGTCTCACAGTGCCATCAATAATAGCTGAGAGTGTAAGATAATCAAAAACATCTGTACAATAGCGCCAGGCATTGGCATTCCCATACTTCCTCTGGCACTCATCGTAAAACCCATAAACCTAGAAAAAAAGAAGAAGAAAAAAACAAGAAAAGAATTACAGATCAAAGATTCGCCAAAAAAGGGAAAGATAGAGGTAGTCGCAACCCAGAATAACAAATTTGAAGATTGAATCATTGTGGACTTTCCAGATTACGGGAAAGAATAAGCAGATTATTAATGCAGGCCACCCTGGAAGAGCAAAAGAAGTTGAAATGGAAAGGAGCCCCGTTGCAAGACTTGTTGGACAGCTCGAACTAGGTCCTATTTTCTATACATGTATCTGGTCTTGGCAAAGGTGGGTCGGGGTTTGTTTTAACAGTCACTAGCCACTACCGTATTTATCCCATAGGCACTATCTCGTCTAGGCAAAGATAGATTAGAGATTCAGTGGGAACAATCTCTATATGCAGTGAGATGGTAGGAAGTGCAGTAACCTTAACTTTCCAAGCCCATACTTAAAAGACCTACATAGCATGGACAGCAAACCAAAAGCAAATCAACAAAGAGAACAATGGTAATAGAAAATGCTGTTCTTGTGCCTTAAATAAGACTTCTATTGATTCCTCCACATATTTGGTCGACGAGAGAACACTTTTGAGCACGGTCACTATTCTAATTTATGCTCCCAAAATGTCTGTTGATGAACAAAAATAACTCGAAGGAAGTGATAGATACGAATTCAAGACAGTACCTGAGTTAGTTGTCTGCTCTCGTGATTTCCACGCAGAAGTGTAATATTAGCTGGGTACCTATACACAGAGGGAAGAATTATTGAACTGATGAGTCATACCAGCTGCTCATATAAGATCACAAGCAACATTGATATAAAGAGGAGCAATGGTTGCACATTATGTTACTTCATGTCAAACTTCACACTGAGAGTTTGAGATAGAAGGTTGATAATCACTTGCAATAAACAAGAAAGGAAACAATAACTGAAGAGGACCAGCCATTAACAATCCTTGCATGTTAAAGAATAATGGTTTATATGTTATGTCCTTACATCCTCCTCCTTCACTAGAAAGGGAGGACAGACCAATTCTTTGAGATTTTATTAGGAAAAAAGTATCCAAGGCATCTTTGTAACAAATCCATCTAAACTACAAAACCTGCATGACCATTTGGACCTTTTGAGATTTCAACTCACGAAACACCATCAATGAAGCAGTAAATGCACCATCTATAATTGATGAACTTGCTGTCTTCTAGAAATTCCTCCGAGATAAAACAAGGAGTGTTTAAACAGGATGGTCTTTCCAACCTACAACCAGCTCAATCTCAGATAACGAAGAGTCTACATTCACATGGGCTTCTGTAACTTCTGGTCTTTTCCGTCTAAGAACATGAAGCATGAACAGTTTTTGCTTTGCCAAGTCAGGAACATCTGGAAGGGAGCCTAGCTACCAGATGGCTGTTTACACTTCTCGTTCTTTCGCCTCTTAAGAACAATGAACCAAAAACATGCCAAGGGAAAATAAAAAAGAGACAAGATAACTTCTGCCATAGAGCGATAAGAAGAAGCATACCTTGCTTTAAGAAGCAAAAGAATGGTGAAAACTTCAAGACTATTATAACCTCGGTCCACAAAGTCTCCCTGCCAAAAGAATCAGCAGCGTTCAACTCCAAGAAGACGACACAATACAACTCGGAACTGACTTTCTGGGGTTGGTAGGCGGGTGGGAGTAATAATGTTAAATTATTAAATTACCATAAATATATAATTTGTCTCTGGAACATGACCTCCAGTCTGGAAAAGTTTCATAAGGTCATGAAACTGACCATGAATATCACCACAGACAGTCACAGGACTGTTGACGGGCTGGACATTGGATTCCTCAATCAGAATTTCTTTTACCTGGGTAGTTTGCAACCAAGTGAACAAATGTTTAATCAATCAACTTTAGCTTCACGATGGGGGAGAAAACTTCATATTGCAAAAGATGTACACATTACAGGAACCAGTTCAAATCTG